TTTTTTTTTTTGCGGTACATAGGCCTCTCACTGTGTGGCCTCTCCCGTTGCGGAGCACAGGCTCCGGACGCGCAGGCTCAGCGGCCATGGCTCACGGGCCCAGCCGCTCCGTGGCATCTTCCCGGACAGGGGCACGAACCCGTGTCCCCTGCATCGGCAGGTGGATTCTCAACCACTGCGCCACCAGGGAAACCCGAGGGGCAACTTTTTTAACTCGCTTACTTTTGAGTATCATAATGGTATAAAAATTGTATAATCCTTTATACACAGTTAGACATATATAAACACTCTAAGCACACAGAAAGAGTCAAGCTACCAGTTGTTTCGGTGCATATTTTTAAGAAGTATTTATTACAAACTGATAGGTATTTAATAATATATGTGATCAGGTACTTCTAAATAATATCATTAAGTACAGCACACCATAATCATATTTATAATACAGTTTAAACTATCATTATTTTTGGAGACTGCATCTCTACATTTTAGATAGGGTTTCGCCTTCTTGGACCAAGATTTACTCAGCCTGGAGAGAACTGGGAGAAGAATTAAAAGCTTATTGGCAAAAAAAAAAAAAAAAAAAAAAGCTTATTGGCTTTCCCAAATGCTTTCATATGTTTATTCTCTCATGGAAAATGAGTTCTGATTTCTTTTCAGCCTACATGCATGGCAAAACTAAAATGAAAAACAATGCTAGGAACTTTCAACGAGTTCTAGTTAAGTCTGGGTATTCACATAATTGCTTTGATCTGCTCTAGAGCTTTAAAAGATTTATTTTCTAGAGTAGGGAAAACGTTTCAGCACTAAGCAACACTGAACAGTAACGAAGAAAAGGGAACACAAAGTTTAGGATGAAATCTAGCTAATTTTATTTCTATTTCTGTATTAGAAACTAGAGCAGTTTCACATGTTTTTATTTGTTTTGTTTTAGAACTTTCACAGAGCTCTCTCATCAAAGGCAAAAGTAATGAATACAATCTATTCTCACTGGTAGTTCTCTACAGCTTGTAGCTCAAACTTCACACAATTTCTGATCCAGCATCAAGACCTGGATCCTCTCTCTGCCCCACCCAAGTCCACCTCCATGTGGCCCCTTTTAGAACTGGCTTACCTATATCCAAGTTTGCCAGGGTGGGGCATTGAAGAGGTTACTGTGTTCTACTGGCTTATACTAACCGCGATACTTTGCAACCACGCCCATTTTCATACTTTTTCAGATTTGCTAAATTGGTACCCATACTATTAGCATTCATATTTGTATTTTGACAAGTACCTCATCACTTCCCTCTAAATGAAGATGCCTGGATGGTAAATAGCTTTAAAAATTAGCACAATTTCTGTATCAGAAATATGTGAATCCATTGAATAAAATAATCTTTAGTTTCATAAAGATGTTTAAATTAAAAACATGAGTTTCTACAGTTGGAAAAAACATGTATGGTTAAAATGTTTGAAGCCCATCAATCTCTCAAACCACATAAGCTAATGAGTTCCTTCTGTTTTCTTTGAATGAAATCACCATGCGTGGTTAGATGTTGATTTAACATAAAACAAATGGAAATGGGTGTTTCCTTTGTCCTTTGTAGAATTTATTTTTAAAAACAATTAGCAAGTATTATGAATAAGTCAATGATTTTGCCATTACTTAAATAATAGTACAGATTGTGTAGTTAAATTGATTGGATTGCAGGGAATGCATAACATATTCCAACTCCCCTTAGCTTGCTAACATCTGTGAACATTATTAAGTTTCTCATTTCATTTTTTTCTACCATAACACCTGTATTGTTATAAATTATGTTTTGAATTGTCATGAAGTGTCAGACAAATTATGTTTTCTGGATGTGTGTGTGTGTCATTTAAGTGTTCTTTTGTAATGGCAGGTTTGTGGCTAACAGCTTAATCTTGAATGTATCAATGCAATTAAAAGCTCTGTTTCAATTCTTTGTGGATGAAAAGAAGGTTGAAGCATTATTATGTGTAAAGTGCAAGGAAAGAATGAAAAATTCTTTAATATCTAAAACATTATCCTAGAGAAGAGATACATTTAGATATAATTATAAAAACAGCAAGCTTATTATATGCTTACGAAAAAAGCGTTGAACTCTTTGAACTCTATAAAATACATATACTATTGAGTTAAAATTAAAAACTTGTTTGAGGCATTTCCCACTCCCTATAGATTTAACCCACTTCTGACAATTTCTTTCCCCTCCCATGCATCCTCCTTTTTTTGTAGTCTCTGCAGGAACATAGTGGAGAGTGACTCAATTATGTCCTGAGCGTCAAAGTGCATCAGACCTAAGAAATGAAGACAGTGGGTTCTTCCTGAGATTCTTTCTGAGAGAGTTAAATAAACAAGTAAATGAGCCAACATATGGGCAGCTTAATTCAGGCAAAATTTTCTATTGATTACTTACTAAACTTACTAAATAAAAACGTCAGCCCAAGTTCTGCCTCCCCAAAGAAAATAGCATTAAACTGATCCATGCACTCATTGGGACTTCATGAGAATCATGCCTAGATGAATGAAACATCTTCAAAGATGAACAAAAGAAAGGGCTAAAATTTTTCGGTAAATGCAAATTATTATCAGTTTGACATATCTTGGCTTACAATACTGAATAAAATAATTTTAAATTCCAAGGGAGACTGTGATATAAATGACCACTGAGGTCTGAGAATGCTATAAGTCTTCCTTCTTTTCAACTACTTTAAAGAAGCCTGATTTAGTTTTCCTAGGTAGATCTGTCGTATGTATAAATTTTGACAGATGTAAAAACGAAATAAGGTTTCACACTAGCTCTGCATAAGTGTTTTTTTTTTTTCTAGACTAGTTTATATCCTGCACCGATAATATTTGAATTATGTTATCTAAGAAATTCCAAATGGAAGTGTTCATGTAGTTTAAAGCACCAATGCCCCATGTGGCTCCTCTTATCTTTTGTATTGGTGAGAATGTTAAAACATCAATACATTAAGTAGAAAAAAATTTGATCATCAAGGATTCTTCTTTGAACCTGAGAATTATAATGAATCAACCAAAAGAGCATGTTTCAGTTATTTGCACATATGTACTTTTAACTTGATTTTTTACAAGTTGAGAGAAAACTTGACTAATGGCTGGATTTACCTTAGTACTACACATATCTGGCTTTATGACAAAATATAGGTATTTAGAGTCTTCATGTCTTTTGAACAATCTGCTGTTGACATTTTAATAACACTGTTGTTTGAAATGATTTCTGACGTATGATGACTGCAACATACCCACAGCAACAAAAAGTACATATTGTTTCTGAAAGCGAAGAAGCTCTAGTTTCATCCTATTTTCTAGAGATTTTAAGTCTTGGAGAATCAGTTTTTCTTGAAAACCAATGCAAACAAGCTTCTTTAATTGATGCCTTCATTCATTAGTATAAACAGTGGTTTAGACATACATTTTAGCTCAGAAAGTTTGTAATTAAAAAAAAAATCCAGGTTTGATTTTACTCGTATGCAAAGGACACAACTGGCTTTCGAACATTTTTCAAGCACGATTTTCTCCGACGTGGTCTATTCTCTTTAGTTTAGGTCCATCGTAGGCGCTGTCTGGCTGTTTGCTAACACTACCAACAGAGAGGCGCAAGGAAGTGTGGTCAGAGGACAAGAGCAAAAGCAGTTTCAATGTAAGGAAATGAGGGAAACAGACCTAAACAGCACGATGAATGCACTTGCGAGTAGAGCCTTGTAGTCTCCTTTCCTTCCTTTGCTTGTCCTGGTGGGTTTAATCAAAAACAAACAAAACGCTCTTGTGAAATATAGTCAATAAAGTCAAAGTTTGGCTAGCTCTCTGTAACTACAAAGAAAAAGTCATCGCAATTTAAAAAAAATGTAACTTTCATTAACGAGCCCGCCGGAAATCTCAGGTATCAAAGACGCATTAACCATGGAGCGTCCCCCGCGCGCCCCAGCCGGACGGAGGCAGCCGAGGCGAACAGACGTTCTTTCTCCTCCGAGCAGTCACACAAAAGGAGGGCCGCGGAAACGAAAAGTTTAGGGGCCTCCGGCTCGCCGCGCGGAGAAAAGAGAAAACCTGGAGACGGGGTGGGTAAAAGACGCATCCTGAGCGCCTCTCCGAAGTGCTGGCTAGGAGAGAGCTCCTGAGCCTGGAGGGGAGAGGGGAGGAGACCCCGAGTTCCGGGCCAGCCCCCTGCCCCCCGCCTCGGAGACCGGAGCGCCGCTCTCTCCCAAATACCTTTCACCCCGTTCCAGAAATAAAATAAATGTTTTTAAAGTGCGTGTGTGTGGACAGGATGGACAGCGCGCGCCGCCGGAGCGCGCGGAGGACCGAGCGCGCAGTGAGTGGAGTTTGGGGAGGTGGGGCTCGGGATGGAATGGGTGTGTTGACGCTGGGGTCTGGATGCGGAGCCCCGAGACCCGGGGGGGCGAGCCGATGGGGAGGGAGAGGAGGGGCGCTAGCCACCGCAGGCCGCCTCCGAGGCGCGTTCAGCTGCCGTGCGCGCGCGTCCCTCGCCGCCGCCGCCGCCGCCGCCGCCCGGACAGCCCTGCGGCCGCCCCGCCGGCGGAGCCGGGGCCGGCCTGTTCTCGGGCGGCTGCTGGGCCACCGCCACCCGAACAGCTCGAACCCGTAAGTGTCCCCTTTCGCTCCCCTCCCCCTTGCTCGGGTGCACCACCGACGCAGCTGCTCAAATGGGGTGGAAAATGGCCATTGGGCGGCAGTGAGTTATAGATTATCTGCTCCACGTTTTGTACTTAGCTGCCTGTAATCTTCTTTTGAGTTTGCCTGAGCCCCTTGCTAGAAAAATCAGGAGGGAGAGGTTTGGTCTTTGCCGCTGTACAAGTTAATATGTTTATATGATTAGGCGAACTCGCGGGGGTGGGGAGGTGGAGATCTGGGGTGGAGGAGGTGTTGGAAGAGGAGGAGGAGGAGGAGGAAGAGAAGGAGGCTGGGAGGTGACTCCAGTTCAGACCTCGCGGAGAGTCTGTGTCAGGACTTCGCAATCCCCCGTCTCTCTCCCTCGCTCCCTCTTGCTCCCTCTCTCTCCCTCACACTCTCTCCGCTCACACACTCACACACGCAGAGGTACCGGAGCGAAATTGGGAGCTTACCGGAGAATCCTTGGGATCGTTGCGGGGGGGGGGGGGCACCTCTCCTCCGTTGCTGCGCGTCGCGTGTCTCGTCCCTACACCTCCCCGCTTCCCCGAACCCCAGTCCTCGCCTTCAGCCAGTCTTGGGGCAGCGGCCACCGCTCAGCCTCGGCCCGGAGACCCGAAATGTGAGGAGGGGCCGCTGCAGTCTCCCGCCCCAGGCCGCAGGGTCGGCTCGAGGGATGCCAGCCGGCCGGCGCGGACGGCGGGCTGAGGGGCTTCGCCTGACGAACTGAGTTGGCCTCGCGCCGCCAGCGTCTGCCCGCCCCTGCCGCGTCTGCAGCTCGGAGGGGACTCCTAAGTCTGCGCACCTCTGTCGAGCTTTTTGCCTCTGCCACTCCTTTCGCTCTGCTTCCCGAATTTCTTATCTTTCCGAGGGAGCGTGCGGTCTGCGGGCGCGTGCGCGTGTGCAAAAGACCCCTCTCGCGGAGCGGCGTGTGGGAAACTGCAGGAAAATGTTGACCTAACCCCAGGAGCCGCCCGGCGCTGGCTGCTTGGCTGGAGGAGGAGGCGGCGGCGGCGGCGGCCAAGCAGGAGGACGCGCCGAGCCACGGCGCTGCTTCCCGCTCGGACTCGGCGGCCGGCGACCCGCTCGCGGCCGGCCTGGACCCTCGCCGGCCCGGGTGGCCGCTGCCCTCTGCGCCTCTCTCCGCGCGGTCCCCGCGCCAGACGGCCTGCCCCCGGGGGCGCGCTCTCAGACCGAGGTAAGAGCCGTGGGAGCGAACAATGTGCCTCTGTGCCGGGCTACGGAGACCTGTTTGCTTTGCGCCTCCCGCCCTGGGGTGGATGCTGGAGGTGGAGGGAGCCGCGGGTGAGTTGGGGCTCGGCTGTTTGTTTATGTTCGGCCGGGCCAAGGGGGAGACCCGCGCCGGCTCGGGTTGCTCGCCCCCTCCTCTTCCTCCCCCTCCTCGGAAATCGATCCGCAGAACTCCCCTTCCCGTCCAGTCTGCTGCTGCTTCGCCCTGCGAGCGTAGGGACGCTCACTTGGCTGTAGTCTAGTTGCAGGGGGCTCCGGGAGGAGAGGGGAGGGTAGGATTGGGTTCGGCATGTTTTGATTTACTGAAAGCCTGGGTCAGAAGGTGCCGTTCGCTTTTTCACAGCCCGTCTCGGGAGGGGGAAGGTGGGGCGCACCCTCGGTGGGGCCGGAGGCCGGGAGGTGAGCGCGCCCCCGTTCCCCCGCCTCAGCTGCCTGCAGACCCGTCCCGGGCTGTGAGTGGAGCGGGGAGGCCGAGCGCTGGGAGAGAGTTCTGGGCAAGTGAATGGGGGTGGGGTGGGGGGATGGGGGGATGGGATGAGTTGTTGCGGGTGGTTTCTTCTCGTCGGTTAGGTGGCGTGGAGAGGCGAGGATGTCAGCAAAGCGCAGCCAGATGTGGCCGGGCCAGCGTTGTGGCTGGCAGCGATTAGGGGCGGCGCAGCGGGGCCGGGCACCCGGCAGGCTCTGGGGAGGCCGAGTGCCTCCCGCGCCTGCAGTGAGAGGGCAGCAGCGGGCCGCGCTGGGCCTGCGGGCGAAGTTATGGGGTGTGGGCTTCTGGGCTTGGCGCTGGGGCTGCGAGTCTCTGGAAGCCTGGTCTGTGGGAGCCGGGTGCCGGGTGGGGTGCGACGGGGGAAAACGGCGTGGGAGTGGCGCGAGGCCGGGGAGGCCACCCCCCGCCACCGGCGCTAACCGAGCGTGGGCTCGTTGCTTGGCTGGGGCTACACGACCCTCTGGTGGAGAGGCGGGGGCGAGGGAAGCGACGAAAGCGCCGCAGCGCTGGGGAGGCACTCCTGCGAGAGTCCTTCGCTTGGGATCTGGAAAGTTTGTTCCTATCGCCAGACTGCGGGGCTTGGTTTAGGGGAAATCGCTGGAAGCTTTACTTTGTGCCAAAGTGTCAATGAGCGGCGACTAAGGAACGTATGTCTCTATTCATATTTATTTTTGTATCCTCTGCTCACTCCGTCCCCTGAAAGCGTAGTTGGAGAGGCAAGTCCTGCGGTGTCCGTCTTCTTTCCCCACCTTCTGTGGACTCCTCCCCCCTCATCCTTTTCCCCTTCTCTGGCCCCCCATTCCGTTCTTCCTGATGCAAACTGTTGTCTCAGATTCAGACCCGAGAAATGTTTTCCTCCTGTTTCTTGAAAGGTGTCAGGCTGCTTAGCAGCTTCTCCAAGCAGCCTGGGAGCGTCTGAGCCGCAGCCACCAGCCATATGGTTCCCGTTACAAAGGCCAGGTTCTTAGGCACTCTCCTCCTCGCCCCCGCCCCCAATTCTTAAATTTTCTTCTGCATTCTTTACACTATGTGTACTTCTCTCTTCCTGAGGCGTACATTTAACGGACGTTGGTTGGTCCATTCATTTCCCTGGCAGTGTTTGTCTGGAACGGGCCCCACCGAGTTTGCTCTTTGCTCAACTCGAGTTGCACAATGAGGAAAAGTCACATCCGTTTGGTAAATGATTGCCTGTTGGGATGTCTCTTACTAAATCAAGTTTGATCTTGGGCAAACCTTAAAAGACAGGCACTAAGGAGGCAATCTGCCTCCATAGCAGAAAAATAGAATAGTTTGTGTGGTGTCTTTGGCAACATTCCCAGTTGTGATGGGACTCTTGACCTAGGTAAAAGGTAACTTTGTAACTTAAATTTAGTATCTAAGAAAATCTACTTCTGTTCAGGTGTGTTATGGAACTTTTTGTTGTCCCTCCCTCCACCCTCCAATACATTTATGCATAATAGAATACTGCAGAACAAATGTTCTGTTGTTTAGTTTCTTCAGACATTCCGATTCTCTCCTTTTGTTACTTGCCTCTAAAAGAGGTGCCATTTCACATCATTCTGCACAAATTGTTTGAATTAATGCAAGTGTGAATTCTTACCGTTTGAAGGGGACCATTAGCATATCAAAGGTTTCTTAGCTTCAGCTCAATTGAGAAAACTTCAGCCTGTCTTCCATTTGCTTCCAAGTGGAGGCCCAAAGGGCAATGAGAATTGTAAAGGGTAAAAATAGGGAGGTGGATTCAGGCTGTGTTTCTGAACTTTTACTGTTTTGTAATTATGTGAGGGAAAAACATTGTCTCTTGCTGTGGAGCCCTTCCAAATGGAAAGACAATTATCTTCTATTGATAAATGGTTTGTTCCTAGAAAAAGAGTGACCTTTTATTTTATGATAGTCACTGTTGCCTGTCTTGTGATCCCTTCAGTGGAAGAGAGAGTGAGAGAGCTTTTCCTTCTAACTTAATACTTTTCTAGGGCCTACACTTTGTTATATTAGTAAAATGGCTGAGAAAGTCTTTTAATTAATGTGTAAAACAATAGAAATCTTGTAATAAGAGGACACTTTTATACCTAGGAAACTTTATTTTTAATATACTTGTTAAATTAATAGGTAAAAAAAAGTCAGTGGAGAGTTTTGAGTATTAAAAACCCAACATGGACTTGTTAACGCAACTTCTGTTGCCAGTGTAAGTTTGAAAAAGATTTCTAAGTGATACTCAAATTTTTCATGAATTTCATATGGAGATAATTGTTTGAATATTGATTGTTTTGTCTCAAAATTTTTGTATTTTACCTAACAGTAAACTCTAGAGGTCAGCTTAAAGGAGGTTTTTCTTAATATATATAGCTAGAGTATACTAATGCTGTTTTACATTTGCAGAGAGATACGTTCTCTGAATTTCTTTTAACAACTCAATATGCATGAATGAAGAAACAAATAAGAACAAGTACTTGGGTCATTTGGGTCATTTTATGGCAAGCAGATGGGTCAAGGGAGAACTTTTATCTTCAACTTCTGGGGAAACATTGGTTTTATTTATTTAGCTTTAGATTTCCTAAAACCTAGTTTTAAGATGAAAGTGAATCTCAGGGACGGTTTGGAGATTTGTAAGCGCATATTTTTTATAGTTTTACCTTTGATGGTTGGTTGATTTTGAACGTGAATTGATATCCCTTCATTAGAGGGTTCTTTTTTACACATGTTCAGAACTCCTTTTTTTTCTTTTAAAAGTGAAAATTAATAAAAAGTTTTGGAGGGAAAAATAATCATTAATCACCTAACATTTTTAGTCTTCAGTGTAATAGGATAATACTTTTTTTCAGATTAAGATGAGGATTTTTTAGTGGCATTCAAATTGTATCTTATTACCCTGAAATCATTTTATGATAGTTTATTTATCTGATCTCTTCAGTTGTCTAAGAACTACTTTCGAGGTAAAAAGGCCCACATTGATGTAATTGCTATTATTGCACTTAAGTTGCTGTTAACTAGTCTGCTTTGAATGCAGAGTGCTATAAAGAAAACACATTATCCTTTAGAGCTATTAGTGATGATCTAAAAATTGTCTTGAGAACATTGCTCTTCATTTTATATGATGGTGATCATGAATTCCGCAAATCTCTAAAGATGTAAAATGCAGTGAAAAGATTTTTCAACATTTAGATGACAAAATTGGACTACTTAGAGAAAAAAATTAATGTGTTGTAGAAGCACTTCAGCTGCCATTTTCAGTCACTGGGTTACTATGTGTTGGCAACAGAAAACAAATTTAGAAATGCAGATAGCTCTGGGAGCAGGTAGTTGGGGAAATCAGAATATTGAATCATGTGGGGTAAAACAAACCAATTACTTGAGGTTTTGACTTGAAGATTTCCACTAAATGTAATTTTTTCCAGGCTTTTGACTCTCTGCTTTATTAATGGACTAACGTCAAAGCAGAAAACAAAACTTCCAAATGTTATAAAAACTAGTATAAGTATACAGATCTCACATGGGGTACTACAAGTCTTAATTTAAGACAAGCAGTTGGAGTTTTTATTGCTGCAATTTTCACAATGAGCAGAAACGTTAACACCAAGCTTCTGGGCGTTTCCTTTCTTAAAATTATCAAGAGGAGAGCTTTAAAACTAAGGTTTACTTGGGGTTAGAACTTTATTTGATGATTATTGGAGCTTTCTGTGTTTCATTAAAATTTTTAAAATAGTATTTTAGTGTCTTAAGTAATATAGGAATATATGAGCTAAGATTGAGATGTTAGGAAGGTCAGAAGGTAACTAGAAGTCTGCACACCATAGTGATAAAATGTTATTGCTCTATTTTCTATGAAAATATTTATTTGGCCTAACTTTTGTAAATAAATATTCAGTAACACTGAGCTTACTGTCAAGTGTAGTATGAGATGAAGAGAGCGTTACAGTGTATTTTATTCTAAGGTATGAGCCAAACCCTACCTGATAGAAATCTGTTTTCATTTTAATAAGAATCCGTACCACTTGCACAGATTAACTGTACATAGATTAGGAATGAAATGCAGTTTTGGAAATTTGAAGAATTAAGTGGCATACAGGATTGCTATTTAAAAATAGTAACTTTAGCTGCTAGACTTGGAAAGGACTTAAAATCTTGTTTGTGTTTTGGTTGTATCAGTTACTAAGGTAATTCGTTTAAATATTAGTTCACATTACCTAAATAGATATCTGTTTTGTAACTATCTTCAAGAAAGATTAAAACATTTCTATTTTAAAAATAGATTATGGTCATAGCTTGGTTAACTTCTCTCTTACATAACACTAATTAGTCTGTAGTCCCACCCAAATATTCATCTCTTCAAATAATTCTTGATTGAAGGTTGAAAGGTTGAAAAGTATTTAATCACCCAGATTACTGTAATTAGACTTGATGTTATCAGAAAAATTGAAACTGTTATCTAAAATCTTTCTGCTACTCAAGATTGGTCAAGT